TTTTAGAAAGATTAAAAACTTCCTAATAAATTTTTAAATTACCTGCTCTTCGAATTTTCGAGGAACTGCTTCTCTATTTAAAAAGCGACATATAGAGAAAGACAAAGAGTAAACAGATCATAACTGATCATGTTAAAGTTTAGAATAGCAATCAACTGCAAATATTATGCCAATCAGAAATAATTAATTCTTCTATAATGTGATTTGCATGCTATATAACTGTGTTGATCAGAATGTCGTCGCGGTAATCAATATGTAAAATTGAAATTTTAACGCCGTTTATCCATTCTAAAAACAGAAATTCTCTTCCATCTCATTTTTAACGTGTCTCATAATAAAAATCGGAAAATTTGACGTGAACGAGTTGTTACACCGACCATATCGCTGCTATCGCCAATTGTTTTTCTATTTCTCTGATTATTTTATAAGTTTTATACAGAGTGTTTTTGGTTAGCCGCAATCGCTTTATGGATAAATTATTTTATGAGTGTCAGTTGCGAAAATGAGATACATCAGAAGTGATACAGTATCGATCAATACGTAAAAGATAAAATAAAAATAACAATATATTGTGACGAACATCGAAATTTTCAAAAAATTAAATCAATGGTGGAGAATGTAATATTAAGAGAAGATTATCATTATTATCAATTCAATATCCCCCAGAAGTTCATTTTCTTTCCGTCACTTAATTCACCGATTCGTATCTAGAGTTCGGTTCGCGTGCGTGTAAATACCGACCTTTGCGTGCGCTTGTGCATGCTTTTTTTGTGTCGTGCACGGCGAATCACGTGTACGCGTACACGCGTTCGTGTTTACCGCAATGAAATCAATACGAGTTCTTTCGACGAGTTGCTTCAAGACGGCACCCTAGAAAAGTATGAAAGCATTCTCCTCCAAAGGCGGTTCCTATTCATCATGAAAATAATTTCTCTTCGCAAGATCAGCTGTGCATTTACGTACGTAACTATTATCTGCATTTTACGGACCCAAACGTATTCGTGCGAGTTCCTGTTAGACATCAATTACAGAAAATTTGCGAATTAAAACCCTAAATTTAATAATCTATTCTAAATTTATATTCTAAACATAGATATTTTACATATATTCTTTTTACACAATTGAGTTCTTTAATTCAGCCAACTATTAGATTAGTCGTTGAAAGAAGTCTACTTTCGCAAATAAAATAATTTTCTCGTTTTAATCTTATTGTTAGTCAAATATATATTATAATAAATAATAATATGTTATAAAATTTGTAACATGATTAATAAATTGATATATTAAAGTGTATTATTAAGTTTACGTATTTTCGATATACACCTTGTAAGGTACACTCTGCAGAAACTTTCCTGCAATAATCGAGTAAATATTGATATATCGCTATCGATCTTCTTTCTTTTTCTCTTTCTTTCTCTCTCTGTCGTTGATAAATCTCTTGCCTTTAATCTCAAGTTAATGGAAAAGTAAGATTGCCGCAAATTTTATAATAAAAGACGATGATAATAGATTGCGTAACTTTCCGTCTCGCATCGTGACATTGTTCATCGATCTACTGTTTGGAAACAATGCAGAAGAATTCGTGTGACTTAATTACCCTGCTGGCTTTATTGTTCTGCGGTGTTTAGAGGCAATCGTAACGTCGTGCATGTATCGTGATTTACCGACGTTGTTTTCAGTTCTTACATCCAGGTTGCTAAAGTTACAGGGTGATAGGAGCTGTTTGCCGGCGAATACGTTCACGACGCGGCATAAATCAACGACGAGGGAAATATTAATGACTCGGGATACAAAGTCCTCTCATAGATACTGGATAATCTACACCATTTTCTTTTATGCAGAGCATCGCGCCGCGCCTTATCAATGAATCATCTCGTTCGCGTGGAATTAACGCAAGTCTCAATCTCATCTGAATGAGTCTCGAAAGTTAGTAAACCTTCGATCGTTATTCCGCTCATAAACATACACGCTTTCGAGAAACGCTCCGAGCATGAATAACGCGCGCGGAATTTACACCGGGTGGATCCCTCGAGCGCGTGCTTAAAACTGAAACTATTTTCAAGCAAAGTAAATGCAAATGTAAATTGCCTAGAAAATCAATATTTATTAAGCTCACGCGTGCTTATAAACATCAGTTTAAAAAAAAATAACTGTGCGAGATATCTACATAACTCTCAGTGACGTGCGAAATTGCAGTAAGAGACATTTCTATATTTTTCTTATGCATCTATAAAGTGAAGCGGGATAAGTATATAAAAAAATAAATATAGAAAAATAATTGTTATTATGATACAATAAAAAATATATATATATAAAAATAGAACGCAAGTACATTTTATAGATAGAAGTGCTCTTGCTCTCAAATGTATTCCATAATTACGGAAATAAGGTCTTTCATCGAGATAATTTCCAGTAACATATCTTGCTGCGCACATGGCTACATTATTGACAACTGCTCTTTTCCCTCACGAGCACAATGAGCAACTGCAACGAGAACAGAAAAAAAAGACTCCGCGCGCCTATTGCAACATAAAGCGGGGCGCTCGATATTAAATTATCGCCTCGAAATGACTCGCGTCAGCAGCGATATGCGATTAACACGACAACGCGTATAATTAGTCCTATCGACGAAGGAAGCGCATTCCCGCGAGATGACACATACTCCTCTCCTCTCGCACAGGCGGGGAAAACGTAAACGCCGCGGTTTTGTTCTGCGTGCGTGCTGCGCCACGCGCAAACATCTGTCGGCGGCACGGCCGGCGCAGAATGGGAAGAGCCTTCGGAAAGCGCGAGCGCGCGACGTGGAAGACTGGCTTTTATGCGAAGCTTTACGTAACCCGAGCGTATATACGCGCCGTTCGATGCGCCAGTTAGGTGTTTACATCGAGCGACGCGTAACGGCGAAGCATATGGCGATACGTACGCCTACGCGCGTGCATCTCTCTAATCGACGCATACAAATAGGGATGAGCAGCGATACCGTCGATTAACACGGCGCGCCGTTTTCCCATGCTGCAATTTCATTAATCCCGTCGTGGAATCTTCCCAGCTGCGTTTGCTAAGAATCACACTTGCGTTTCTTAACGCGACTCTTGCAAAATTTGCTGTAATTGTTTCACTAATCTTCCATTATAATAGGTATATGCTTCAGCTTAATAAATATGCAGCAATGTCTTTAATCGGGCTGTAAGCGTCATCGTCGTTATCACAGTCTTTGTGAACAATTAATACGAAAAGTTTTAAAATAAAACTTGAGAAATAAATTTTTTTTCTCCGATTCAACTTTTTTATTTTATTTAGAAAATATAGATTTCATATTCATAAAATCGATAATCGTACAAGAGCATCTCTTGCAAAAAATATAACAAGATTTTTTTATTATTAATTTGTTTTGTGTGGGAGTTAGTTTGAATTAGTCAACGATTAAGTTTAGCAAGTTTTCAAAGAGCGCAAGCTCGCTCTTCGTTGGCCTCGCGCTTCAGGGAACTAACAACAGTCTTTCGATAAACTCCGAAAATACCTACGTTCAATATTTCCCAAAATCCTCGCATCTTTCCGCGAGAATAATACTTCTTGTTTTAGATAGTTTGTTTTCTTGAAAAATTCGCGCAGAATGTTCGCAACCCGTCGAGAGACTCCTCACGGCCGGAGTTGCTGTGAGATGCATGCGAGATGCAGCGCGAGCGAGATCGATTCCGTGGCGCGCGGTGAGTAATAGCGTCGACAGAGCCAACGCAACGCGGGGCGATCTCGAGGCCTAATTCGCGATTCTTACGCGGCCGCGCAAAACCACCTTTCCCATTACACTTACGTAACCGCGCGCACACGACGCCGCCAATGCCAGCCAGGTATTTACACGGTACGCCGCGTACGGACACGACGCATTCCGCCGACGTTCACACACCCACGCACGTATGTGCAACGCGCCGTATCCTCGCTCCTCCTCCCCCCCTCTTTGTCCTCCCTTCCCTATATTTTCCGCACATGCACTCGGCCCGTCCGTGGGACACGAAAGAGAGCGTCTCGCTTCGCTCCGCTCACGCGCTATACGGGATGTTACAATGAGGGTGACGTCACTTCCGGAATATCCGGCGCAGACTGTGAGGAGGAAGCTAGGTCGGTAGGTTGGTAGGTAGCCAGATGAATCAACTACGCGGGTTAACATGCCGCTCGTATATAGACTGTTCCCAAACTACCGAGCGGCTTATCAATCATTCTCATTCATATACTTAGCCTCGATTTTTCTGTAACAAATTTTTAATTTTCAGCTTTCAAACACACATCTCGACAATAAACTCTTTAATTTTTCTTAGAAAGATTATAGTTTGGCTGAAATTAATTAGAAAATAAGATTTTTTGCATCTTCGAGTCTTAATTAATCAAAACAATTAATTTAATTTTCGAGATTAAATAATTTCTTTATTCTTAGTCAACATTTTGGAACAACTACGATATTTCTTAGTTTGTCATGATACGGGATGTAGAAAGAACATCCGGCAGATTTAGTACAGTCTGTAGCGTATGCTACACTGCAAACAAAAATGTGTTAAAACAACATGCTTTACAGCATGTTAAAGGATGTCTCCACTTTTAACACAGAAAATTGGTATATTAAATTAACACACTTATGTGTGTTAAAAAGAACACACTTTGATATAAATAAAACATAGTTGCTTAATGCGTGTTAATGGTACAAGTGCGTCAAAATGACATACTTTCAAATGTGTTGAGGTAATTTTTGCACCAGCAGAAAATTTTTATTAAATAATTTACTAAACTGTATCGTGCGACTAGACATATTCATAACAATATATAGCAAAATTTCAAGATTTATATTTTCTTGAAATCTGTGCAATCTTTTTGTTATGAGTATGAGTTGCGCGATATAGTTTAATAAATTATTTGACAAACTTTTTTTGCGTGCAATATTGGTTGGCAATATTGCATAAACAATTCATTAAATAGTTAAAAAATACAAATTTATTTTGTAAGAACACAGAATTTTAATTACAAGATATGATTGATAAAATAATTAAAGAAAGGAAATAAACATAAAAATTTTGTTAACATTAAACAATACTTGTTACATTGCACATGTGAGCATTGCTAACATAACTTTAAAACTAAATATGACATTTTAAATATTGTTTTATAACAATACATGTGCTCTAATAATAAAGTATTCCACAGCCGATACAGAGCTAGAGAATTAGTTACATTATATTTGTTAAAATTTCGCACTCAACAAGATAGATGCAACATAACATCATATGTTATAGCATTTTACATTGTTGACTACTAAATTTTAACATAGATGTTTTCTAACATGTTTTCTAACATAGATGTTTTCAAACATTAATGCTATGTCGACTTAAACTATTTATTCATAAAATAAACAAAATTTTTTATAAAAATGATAAAGAATGTAAATAGAAAAATCGAATCTGTCAATATCTGTTAATATCAAATGCTAATATACATAGCTTGCACACATACATTTACAAGTTAATTGTGTGTAGGCTGTGTATTTGGGCAAGCATTTTGATTACACATAATTGCACGCCATCTTCTAAAATCTCGTTTAAAATCGTCAAATATTTTGCAAGAATAGTTGTTTGGCGTTTCCAAAGCAAAATAATCAAAAATGGACAACGAAGAAACATACGGTCCTGGAAAGTCTGATGCCCATGCATGATAAGTTCCTAGTAATACCATGAGACAGTCAATGACAGATAGCTTATTAATTTTTATTCTTCTTCCATCCGCAACAACGAAAGCAGCAACCGGAGCATTATTTTCTACATAAATGACTAGTCGTGGACCTTCAGTTTCTTTGGTAATCAATTCCTCGCCAGGAGGCGACGAAGCCTATAGAGACAGACAAGAATCTTTTGTTTCGATATCTCATGTGCAAAATAAACTATATAATGAGCAAAATTATTTAAATATTACCTCCTTTACAGTGAATAGCGGCTGAACATTTTTTGCTGTCCTCTTTGGCTTGTACTCAGAGTAAATCTTTTGTAAAATAGTTAATTTTTTGTTTTCTGAAATTGTATCATCTGGTATTTTAAGAAAAGAACCTAGCTCCACGATTAACGCATCAATTTTGTCAAATATATCACTGAGCTTTAAATTTACTCGGAGACTGAATTCAAAGAGAATCTGAAAAATTCAAGCATATGAAATACACTTGTTGCACAAATATAGATAATGAAACAAATTAATAAACCAAATTAAAAAATAAAAAATTTACCATTTCAGCCTTCAAAAGAAAAGGAAAATTAGATAAGACTGTACTTATAGTATCTGACATATCAATAATTTCTTTTCTTTTTATGAATGTCTCTTTCAATAAAGCCTTTACGTGAGAAGTAAGACCAACATTTTCAGTTAATGTTTTTAACTCTTCCATCATCACTTCTTGCTTTTTCTTTTCTTTATCAGTTTCCTGTGAATAACTGAAATAAAAAAAATAAATAGAGAAATAAAAATACATATGTTCAAGATAGTAGAATGGCCCATTTTAAAAATGCGCTAACAAAATTGTAAGCGCGTTTTGAATATGGGTTTACATATACAAGATATATATAAGATTATTAACCTTTCTGTATCAACAGGATGAATGGATGCCATTTTAAGATTTGGTACAGAAGAATTACTTTCTTCTTCATTGGAGGAAGAGTTACCTTCTTTTACAAATTGCTTAATTTTTCTTTTTTCCCGAGCTCTTAAATTTCTAACGCATTCACTTAAGCTTTTTCTAATGCTGTTCTGTGTTTGAAAAAAATGTATAAAAGCTAGTTACATGTCAATGATGAAACAGAAACAATAGAAAAAAAGTAATAAAAATTCTAAAAATGTACATAAGGCACATCTTCTCCTTCATCAGCCAATATGGGATGTCTTTCTGCGATTATTTTTGCCATTTCTTTATAATGCTCTTTGGTGATCTGGTTATTTAACTGCGTCCTTAACATTCCAGCGTAATGTCTTATAAATTCCGAAGAATGTCTTATAATTCCATTGGGATGTTTTGCATATTCGCATAAAGAATGAGGTAATATATTAGGAACATGAAAAGGCAGCCCTTTTGGTTTCTTGACAGTCTATACAGGAAAAAGTAAAACATTATATATTTACGTACCTAACAAAATACATTTGACGAAAATACCTTAATTGCATTATGACATTTTTGAAAGAAAAAGTAAGCTTCTTATATGAATCAAAAGCAAACAATAAATATAACACTTATAAGATAAGTACTTATACTATTTCATATAAAATATATTCATGTAAAAATAAAATATAAAAAAGCAACATACCTTTTCTGGTTTGCTTTTCGTATCTAATTTCCTTTTTAATAAACTTTCTGTTGGCTTCATAGTTATTGTACCTGTCATTTGTAAGTTAACACTCTCTTCATTTTTCTCAGCTATATTTTTCTCAGGACTGCCTACTTCATAGGTCCCAACAATGTCATCATTAGCATTTTTGATATTCACATCATTTTCAATTTCGTTTAAAATTTTATGGCATTTCAACACATCACTCGATAAATCAAAGAATAAAGAAGTAGGAGATTCCATAGTGACAACATTTTGTGATTCGGTTTTATTCTCAGGTGCTTGACTTTGGGAGATATCTTCTAAACGACAAAACACAACAGCCAAATCTGCATCATGTTCGACTTCAGGCTCTTCATCTTCATTGACATCCACTAATATTTTCTCTCCAGTACTTTTTTTAACTTTATATTTTTGGAAAATAACACTGCAGTTCAGTAACCTTCTCTTCAAATCGTCGTCTTTTTCAGCAGTTTGTCGCATAACCTCTCTTAAATTATTCCAATCAGAAATTCCTGATCTACTTACAAATGTAATACATTTGTTTCTACTGCCGAATCGCAAATAAACTTCTTTTTTAACCATGTTGAAATAGTCTAACCACATACACAACGAGCGATATCTCAATAATACACGATTCAAAGTAATTGAGGTTAAATCAACTTTGTCTCTTGTTGTCTAACTAATGTTGTCTCTTAATTAATATACCGAAATACTGTAAAACAGTCTTTTTTGTTAATAAGCGTTACTTATACGCGCAGCGGTAACAAATACAATGCGTCTTTGATGGCAGAAGGCGGGAAATTTCCCTCGGCCGTGCCCGGTGCCACCTTCGTGTTTCGTGCCGTGCGCATACACTACATGGCTGCTTTCGGAAACATCACCCGAGCGCCCCCCTGTATCACTTTATCGTTTTGTGTACCGAATATTGAACAAGGATAAAATGATATACGGGGGGGGGCATTCGACGTTTCTGAACGCAGCTCATGCCAGATTACAAATGAAAATCACAATCAAATAGAAGGGATGCGTAGTGCACCAACGTACATACATATCTCGATTTTTGCGTAATTCTCGCTTGCAATTTGGCATACGTGACTTATCATCATAGTTTTATCATCGCCTTCCACACACGTATTTAACTGTAATACGTATTTTAAGTAATCTTTACGTGCATTACATGCTCTGGAATGGAGGCAGAATTGAGACGTCTAAAGTGTCCAATGTGTTTCTTCTCAACTGTGATTCCAAGAAGTTTAACCTGTCATTATGTGAGAAATCATAGATTTGATCCACATTTCACTGTAAGATGTGTAGTAGCAGGTTGCACAGCCACTTTTATGAAGTGGTGTTCTTTTAAAAAGCACGTTCTAAGAAAACATCGTAACAGCCACGATAACTTGCTAAGAGACGTTCCGTTTCAATATGAACCAAACGTTTATGAAATGGAAAATAATATATTACAACCAGAAAATGACAATATGTTACAACCAAACATAGGTGAGTAAATTTTAATTTTATCTATTTATCTCGTACATAATTTTTTCCATTGCGTTCTAATTTTAATCTTTTATTCAGAGATGGCATGTGAAATCAATGAGACACATGATCTCAATTGGCATATAATGAAATTCCTTCTCTTTGTTAGGAATTATTGTAAAACCTCTCAAACAGCTATTGAAAATGTTGCTTCTGGATTGCAGCATTTTATTAAACAACTTTCTCTATTATTGCTGGTAAGTTTTATAATTTTAATTTTTATATTAAGTTTTATAATTTTAATTTTTATATTAAAGACAAATTGTTTATAAACACTTTATCCCTTTTTTCAGAATAAACTTCGTCAAAATTCTGATCCTGAATCGGGATTTATTACAAATGAAAAATGTTTCGAAATTATTGAGCAAACTCTTCTCAATAACTCGTGGACAAGTTACAATAATTATAATATGAATAAGTTTCTTATGGATAATCTAAATATGATTCCACCAAAAGCCATACAACTGAGTCGCACACTGCTTTGGAAGTACAAACCTAAACTCGATTTAATTGAGAAAAAATCTTATGGTTATTATTTGTCACTGCTTTCTAGCTTACAAAGATTACTCGCTAATGAACAGGTTCGTTATTGTGTCGATAACCCAAAAAACAATGGGAATGTTATGAAATCTGTCTTGGATGGTCAGTATTATAAATCGCATGAGATTTTCAGCAAAACTCCTAATTCTCTTGCAATTATCTTATATTACGATGAATTAGAAGTAGCTAATCCACTCGGATCACGTACTCATAAGATTGGCATGTTTTATTGGTCCCTTGCTAATA